CTCCATTGGGGCCATTCTTAGACTTTTTGCTTTATTTGACTTCCTTTGACGTCTTTTGCCTTACTGATCTTTTGTTTGTTTGTTTTGACTTTTGTTCCTGTATTTTCACGTTTTTTCCTGTTTCTTGGAAATGTTTGTTTGTTTGTTTCTTATTTTTTCTTCCTTTTTTGAAATTGAGAGAGAAGAACTTAATGTTGGGTGATTAAGGAAGTGGAAGGAATAGGAAGAAATTAGAAGAGGAGGAAAAATTTCAAAATATATTATATGAAAAATTTTCAATAAAATATCATAGTATAGAGTTTAGAAAAAATTATTCACTTAAGTATTAAATTGTGAAATCATACTTTGGTTAAATTATCTGAAAAATTACAAACTTTTTTCTGGACAAATTTTAATTTGAAATGTTAGTTTTAGCTTTGGTCCACATGTAAAGATAACGTTAATTGACTTCTGGACCATACGAAATATGTATATATTTATATCAATGTTAAGGTTGGCTACCTTCTCTACTGTAACAATTGTTAATAGATAGCAACCTTATAACAAATAATGTTATGAAATTGGTTTTTGTATTTAATTTTGTAATGTGTACACAGTAAAATCATTAAAGCTGGTTCTATTAACAAAAAGATACATAGTTTTCTTCAAAAAAAAAACCCTACAAGACTAATCATTTTATTTTTCTTAATAAATAGTTCTCTTAGTCTTTCATAAAGTTTATTGTTCTAGTTATTGCTTTATCTAAAGTTATCACAGATTGTAAATTATTTGGGAGACTGGGGCCTGTGTTAGGTGAGTATGCACACATTTCTCTTCTTCTAATCCATTTTTTGTTAGGTGTACAGATTTTAGTGGGTTTATCCTATCTTATAGATCTAGTATCCACCTATAAGTGAGCATATACCGTGTGTGTCTTTCTGCTTCTGGGATACCTCACTCAGGATGCTCTTTTTTAGATCCCACCATTTGCCTGCAAATTTCATGATTTCCTTGTTTTTAATTGCTGAGTAGTATTCCATTATGTAAAAGTACCACAATTTCTGTATCCATTCCTCTGTTTATGGACATCTGGGTTGTTTCCAGGTTCTGGCTATTACAAATAAAGCTGCTACAAACATGGTTGAGCAAATGTCCTTGTTGTGTACTTGAACATCTTTTGGATATATGCCTAGGAGTAGTATAGCTAGATCTTGAGGAAGTGCTATTCCTAATTGTCTGAGAAAGCTCCAGATTGATTTCCAAAGTGGTTGAACAAGTTTACATTCCCACCACCAATACAGAAGGATTCTCCCTTCTCCACAACCTCTCCAGCATGTGTTGTCACTTGAGCTTTTGATCTTAGCCATTCTGATGGGTGTAAGGTGAAATCTCAGAGTCATTTTTTCATTCGCATCTCTCTGATGGCTAGGGATGTTGAGCATCTCCTTATGTGTTTCTCTGCCATTCTATATTCTTCTACAGAGAATTCTCTGTTTAGCTCTGTTCCTCATTTTTAATTGGGTTACATGAATTATTGCCTTTTAACTTCTTTGGTTCTTTATATATTCCAGATATCAGCCCCCTGTCAGATGTTGGGTTGGTGAAGATCCTTTCCCAATGTGTAGGTTGTTGTTTTGTTCTAACGACAGTGTCTTTTGCTTTACAGAAGCTTTTCAGTTTCATGAGGTCCCATTTATTGACTGTTGACCTTAGAGCCTGTGCTGTTGGTGTTCTGTTCAGGAAGTTGTCTCCTGTGCAAATGAGTTCTATTCTTTGCTTTCGTTTGGCTTCTATGTTTTAAAGTTTCCATTGCTATCACCTTTTAAAAGGTTCCTTTTACCTGAACTCCTACTTCAAAATTCATTATGTTTGATATATCTCACTTTTATTCTTTATATTGTTCTATTTGTTACTATTTAAATCATTTCTAAGTGTAAATGTTCTATTATATGTTGTTGTTTCTGTATGAATTCTATTATACTGTTTAATATTTAAAGTATCTTTTATTTTTCAGAAAGATAATCGCACTTTTGAGAAATTATTCCTCTTTTCATCCTGACAGTTTCCACTTCAGTTGATTCATGGTTTTCAGTCGATAGTATTTCTTTGATGTTGTTTTAGTTCTGAGATACGTACATATTTTAAATGTTAAATTCCGCAGCAGCCCTGGCTTGTTTTCTTCCTACAATGAGCTAACTAGTGTTCAAGATTAAGCTTCTGGTGATTGGATTGCTTGGACGAGGAATATGGGCAAGAGCTGAACAGTCTGGAACTCAGTCCAGCTTTACTACCTTTTTTTCAGGTCAGGATCCATCTGTGAGCTCTTAATTGTCAGCAGTAGGAAGAGGTGTTTTCTGTAGGTTGTGATTCACCATCCTTGGAGTCTGGAGGACAAGAAGGTGGAGTAGCAAATGCCTGCACCTGTTCTGTCACCTCCCAGCTGGCCTTTTGATTCACTCTGTCATCCCCCAGCCAACACCTGTCTGACCTAGAATGTTGCCCTTGGTCTTTGAGGTGAAGGGCAATGGCCGTGATTGTTCTCTTTGATCCACAATTTTCAATGGATGTTTCTGCACCTTCTAAAAATGTCATCTTAGAGAAAGACAGCAACTCCCTGCTCTTTCTTTGTTACAACCACACTTTTCTTTCTCCTGCTGCTTGAAAGCATGATTCAGGTACCACAAATCTTTCAGCTTTTCAGTTATTTACTAAAGTCTGTGATGGTAGGATACTTCTCACTACTGTCATTTCACCATGAACATGTTCTATGCAGCAAGATGATTCTGGCATATTGATAGCTTAGTGAAGTGTGTTATAAGAGTGTTGCAGCCGTTGGTTTATTTCTGTTACACTTACCATGATCTAAGACTTGCTTATGTTGTGGTCTTCCCGTTAGCATGCAGACCCTTTAGAGCAGTATTCTAGTTCTGTTTGTAATGCAATCTCATAAAATGTTAGACTACCCAAGTCTTATAAATATGTAATGAATTTTCAGAAATAAATGAACAAGTAGGCAAACGAAATAACAACACACATTACAGGATTCTGTAACTTCTAAAATGCATGGTGCAGTGAGTGGGACCGTGGTGTAGTTTTTCTGAGCACTTTAATTTTTTTTTTCCCTCTGGGACAGTTCTCCACTTTAATTCTCTGGGTGATAAATTCACTGTGTAGTTGCATATGTTCTACATTTCTATGTTTGTGACGCATGTAAGTGATTTTATGTGAGTGATTGCTGGCACACATCGTATGTTCCATATACACTATTGAAATATTTTAAACACACCACGGAAATATTTCAAAGGCAGCAAAATTTGATTTTCAATGTGATATTGACAGCAGGGGGCTCTCGTTAAATGTGTTTGGTTTTAGATGAAAGTTAAGCTCAAATTACACTCTATATTCTTTGTTACCTTATGTCACAATGGTTATTGCCAAATCGTGTTTCACAATTACTTCTTTGATCCTTACCATGAATGTGGAATGTGGGCTGGGTGTGAATTCCCATTTTTCATATGAAGAAAGTGAGGTTCAAAGAGGCAACGTGAGTGGGAAGCAGGTCCGAGGTTGGAGCACGTGTCTTCAGTTACTGCCAGGTTGTTTTCTCACTACACAAGTTTGTCCTTAGACATATGTCATGCTACATATGACAGCAATGACCTGGACATTACTGCCATAATCCTTGAAAGATAGTTAGTTCTCTTGCCCTGGTTGTCAATAGAGAAAACGTGTTTTTATGTGCACTGATGTTTTGCCTGCGTGAATACCTGTGTGAACAAGAATCCAACAGACTTAACAGACAGTGGTGACCTGCAGTGTGGATGCTGGGAATTGAACCCAGGTCCCTGAAAGGGCAGCCAGTGCTCTTAACCACAAAGCCATCTCTCCACCTGACAAGGCATTTTATCTCTTTCTCATTAATTAATTAGTTTGTTTGTTCATTTGTTTCAATTTATTCACTTTGTAGTCTGACAGTAGTCCCCTACCTTGTCTCACTCACAGTACCTCTTCTCCCCTCTATGCCCCTTCCCTATCCACTGATAGGGGAGGACCTCCTCCCCTTCTATCTGACCCTAGCCTATCAGGTCTCATCAGAGCTGGCTACATCATCTTCCTCTGTGGTCTGGCTAGGCTGCACCCCCCAGAGAAAGGTGATCAAAGAGCCAGCCACTGAGTTCATAGCAGAGACAGCCTCTGATCCCCTTACTAGGGAACCCACTTGTAAACTGAGCAGCCTATGGGCTTCCTCTGAGCAGCGGGTCTAGTTCCTCTCCATGTATAATCCTTGGTTGGAGTATCAGTCTCTGCAGGCCCCCATTCCCAGGTTTTTTGGTTCTGTTGTTCTCCTTGTGTAACTCCTGTCCCCTCCAGGTCTGTCTGTCTCCCTCTTCTTCCATAAGGTTTCCTGCACTTTGCCCAAAGTTTCACTATGAGACACAAAACATTTTGTGTTCAGACTGTTTTAATTACTGCACCTACATTACTAACTTAGATATCCCTGTGGAATCAGCGGTTGGCGAAATTAAAGCCACTCTGTAAGTGAGAACATTTCAGTATAGAGAGGTTAAATTACCCACTCAAATCTCAGTGTTAACAGAAAAATTAGGAACCTGGAAATCTGGTTAATCACTCTCCTAATGAACCATAATGAAACATTTCCTATAGTTTATAATTTACAGAGTGTGTCTATGTCTGTTATCTGCTGGGGCTTATTATCAGTCTATGGTGACTACAGGCAGAATTTGGCTGACATTGTGTGCTTAGTTTCATTAATTAAAACTTGGCTTATCTCACCCAGACAGCAGGTGGCTGAACTCATTCCAAAATCTTTTCAAATCTAACTCCATCTCTGCCTTCAGAACACACTTCATTGTCCTTCATTTAATTTTTATTAGCTCACCAATCCCTACCTTTATTGTTTCTACAGTGAGTTATTATCTCGGTTTGAAATACTAAGCTACTTATTTTTCTTAAGGGGTATTCTGTTTTTTTTTAACATTCTTTGATTATATCTCTTGCAGTTGAATTGTGAGGCTCTCAAACAAGGAGGAAAAGATGGAGATTTCATCTGTGCCTCCGATGCTTCTGCAGTCTGTGGCACAGATGGGAGAACATACCGCAGCAGATGTGAGCTGTGTGCTGAGAATGAGTGAGTATTCTATAAAGCAGACATGGCGTCTGCACAAGGAAATTATGGATTTTCCCTCTAGTATTTATAATTCATTTGCTGTGAGTTACAACAAACTGAGTGCACTGCTTCTCTTCCTACTCTTTGGGGGAAATGTACATAGAGTGTCATCATCACCGTCAAACATGATTTAAGGAAATTAAAATATTATATAATATATATATTATAGTATAGTATATAATATGTAAATGTAAGTTTGGTATTGACCCTCTTGGCCAAAGAGATATCACATCTCACTGGCCTCCCCTTTACCCTGTGTTTTTCCTCTTCTCTCAGTGCTTGTTCTGGTTATTAACTTTCTTATAACAACAAGAAACATGCCTGCTTTGCAGCCTCTGCTTATAATCTCCAACGTGAATGAACTGCACTTTTGTTTCTGGAAACACAATAGCCAATGTTTGCGAAGGCTGACAGGGCAATAGTTATCCTTTGAGATTCTGAACTTTTTTTTTTTTTTTAGATTCTTCTCTCATGCAATACATCCCAACCACAGTTTCCTTTCTCTCCACTCCTTGTAACTTTCCCTCCCCCACACCCTGCTTCTCCCTCAGATTCACTACCTGTCTGCTTCCTCTTTAGAAAAGAGCAAGTCTCCAAGAGATGACAGCTAAGCAGGACAAAACAATATACAAGAAGAGAAGACAAATATCCCTCATATTAAGTCAGAACAAGGCAACTCAATAGGAGAGAAAGAGTTTCAAGGGCAGGAAAAAAGAGTCAGAGATCTACCAGCCCCCACTGTTAGGAGTTCCACAAAAACACCAAGCTAACAGCCACAACGTATATGTAGAGGACCTGGTGCAGACCCATGCAGGCCCTGTGCTTTCAGTTTGAGTTTCCATGAACCCACATGAGGCCTGCTTAATCGATTTGCTGGGTCTTGCTCTCCTGAAGTGCTTAACCTCCTTTGACTCCTTCAGTATTTCCTTCCCTTCTTCCGCAGGGTTCTCCAATCTCCAAGAGGAAGGATTGGATGGAAACATTCAATCCACATTCTCTCTTACTCTCTCTCTCTGTCACCCTCTCTCTCTCTGCATAATGTCTGGCTGTGGGTCTCTGCACCAGTTCTCATGTGCTGCCAGTAGAAACCTTTTTGATGATGACTGGCACTGATCATTTTTTAGTAGATCAGAATATTACTAGATGTCATTTCATTAACTTTTTTTTTTTTTGTAGACCACTCATGATTGGTTCTTAGGTCTCTGAGGTATCCACCTTTTGGATCTTGGCCATTCAGGCAGTGTAGGATCTTGGTGCCCTCTTGTGGAGTGGACCTCAAAGTTAAATCAGACATTGCTTGGCCATTCCCACAAGTTCTGTGCCACCATTGTCCCAGGGCATCTTTCAGTCAGGTAGATTCATAGATTGTAGGTGGAGGGTTTTGTGGCTGGGTTGGTGTCCGGGTTTCTCTTTCTATAGTCTGCAGAGTACCATCTCATGGCAAATAGATTAGAATGTAGGGGTGAAGGTTCCAAGCCCACACCAGCTCGACCTCTCTGTGTTCAATGAGCTGAGTGTAAGTTGTCCTCAGTAACGGGTCAGTTTTCAGAGTGTGAACTTCTGCTCTAGCATCAGCCTGCGTTGTTCATTGATCTCCACTGCGCCTTGTTTTTGTCTGTTCTTCTAATACAGGTCAAACTTTGCAGTTAGCCTTTCTGACCTATTCATGACTGTATTTCAGACTGTTCTCATCAGAATAAATGAATGAATGAATGAATGAATATTAAAAAAAAATAGAAAACCCAGGTCCAGTGAGGTAGCCACCAAGCACCCACGTCTTACACCTCAGACTAAGAAAGAAAGAAAGGAAGAAAGAGACAATAATGCAGCACCATTTTAAAATAGAAAACTAAGCAGGCAGAGAAAGAACATCTATAGTTTCTAAGGCATTCATTTTATACTGTTTTAAACATAGTGAGCACTTAATTCTGAATCATAATTAAGAACTAATAGTTTAAAATTCTAAATCTCCAATCCATGTGGTATTTTCTCCAGAATATAATTTGACTATGTTGTTCATTGCTCTGACTTCTAGAAGACTCCACATAATACTCCAGGCTACTTTTTGTCAACTTATAGATCTTGAAAATCCGTTTCTTCTACTAGTCTTCCATTCTTAGTTTTGTTCTGAGTTTTGTGTTTTTATTGTTATATGCATGCTGAATTACAAGCTGCTTCTGTAGAAAGTAGAAATTGCTTTGCATTTATGTCCTGCTTTGCATTTTACATGTATATTCTGTTTTCAATATTCTTTAAAGTTCTATCAGATTAAACAAAGTTAATCATAAGAGTTTATGTACTTTTCCTGAACGATAAAATATAATGTTAGCATGGAAGAATATTTTATTGAAAAAATAGATAAATTAGTGTTGAACGTTTTATAAAAATTAACAATTGCAACCTCAAACAATGAAGTTATTGGAGAAGTACTAAACATCTACTCTACACCTGAAACTTAGCTCTCCAACATGGCTCCATCTCTTTGCTATTATTTAAAGTTGTAAAAGGGGTCTTTCACCATACAAGGTAAATAAAGCAATAAGACAGAACACTGTTTTCAGGTACAGAAACAATTAGAATACAAAGAGAAGGTTTTCAGGAAGGAGAATTCTCTCAGGTTAATTTCTATGTCAATGAACTTTTTGATTCCAGGAAAAGCGAGAACCAAGTTGGCATAAAAAGTGAAGGGGAATGTGAGATCAGCACTCTAGAGAAGGTAAGAGCGGCTGCAGTGTGGGGAACTCTGCTGGAGCATAAAACAGTCACTATCCACATTCCTAATGCGGCGGCCCTTTAATACAGTTCCTCACGTTGTGGTGACCTGCAACCGTAAATTTAGTTCATTGCTATAGCTATAGCTAGAATTTTGCTACTGTTATGGATTGTAATGTAAATATCTGATATGCAGGACATCTAATATGTTACCCCAAAAGGGATCATGACCCACAGGTTGAGATCCACTGAGTAAAGGCAAACAAAAAAACAAAAATATGTGGTGTTCCTCCTCCTCCTCCTTAGGCTGGAATGCTTGGAAAGAGTAATAATCTGACTTTACTGTAATTCTGCATCCTTTCTGATGACATAGAAAAAGCAGCCACGTTCTTAACACCAAATCTGTTTACTTTGATACTAAGACCATTAGGCTCTATTTCTGCTATTTTAAAAAAAAAAGAAAGAAAAAGAAAGAAAGAAAGAAAGAAAGAAAGAAAGAAAGAAAGAAAGAAAGAAAGAAAGAAAGAAATTGCTTGAAAAGTGAAAGGGCACTAGAGGTCAATCACTATATCAGAGTTGGAACCTCAGTTTGGGCAAGCACTGTTAGGAAGCCTTGAACAAATCACTTAAGGAAATGAGATTCATACTAAGCTGTTATTTTCTAAGATTCCGTGAGCTGTTGATGTTGGGGAAAGAGAAAGTATCATTCATATCACACTTAATTTTTAGTTGAACACCAATTCTCATTTTCATGGTTGTTGCGAGCCTCCACCAAAGATTTTAGCACAAGCTGTTTTAAGGATTTCTTTGTCTACATCACCTAAGACATTTTGAACACACTGAGAGCAAAGGCAGCGATGGATTTGAGTTCTAGCATACTTGTAACTATTTTTTTTTGAATACGCACATGAAGAAGTAAACAATTCTATACTTAAACACGAGCTACACAGACTCTCAAAGCTGTTTCTCCACGACCAACGCTTTCTCAGAGTGTTGTTGAAAGCATCCAGTCATACTATTGTGTGCCATATTCCCTTCTCTCTTCTTTCTCTCTTCTTCCCCCTTCTTTAGGATGTGTGCAGTGATTTTCGGGCCTATGTGCAAGATGGAAGACTCGGATGTACAAGGGAAAACGATCCAATCCGTGGTCCTGATGGGAGGACACATGGCAACAGGTGCGCCATGTGTGCTGAGCTCTTGTAAGTAGCATCCCTAGATGGACCTAGGACACGGTCCTTATTTCAGAGTTTTAAAGTCCTTCTCATGACGGATGTGAACTTTTGTCATTGTAATGTGAGATAAGTCTAGTTATGATATGGGCTTTTTCTTCACTTTACTACAATATTTCTATGATAAAAAATAATTGAACCTGCCTTTAAAAATGTATAATGCTTCAAAAGACATACTGGGTTTTATAATATAATCCTTTAAGACTTGGGGTCATGGGCTGGAGCAGATAGAGGAAGAATTGACTAAAGCATACTTTCCTTAAAATTCTATAATGATATCTAATGCCATATATGCTAATTAACAAAATAAAGACAGACTTTGAAAGCACGTAAGCACTGGATAGTGAAAACTGGTCGTTTGACATGCAGTGCTTTCATTGGGTACCTAGGGACCTCCCCCACCCTGAGTAATATCTAATTTTAAATAGTAGCATAAAGTGGCAACAATAATAATGAGGAATAATGAAGATAATTTGGTGTCTGGACTCATTCTTACTGTAGAAGTGTCCTTTAAAGGGAGGACTATTGGCTTCATGTCTCCATGAGTGCCTGGCATGGCACTTTCTTACCAAGGAGGCGTGAGTCTTCAATGTTCAAATGGCCCTGAGCTCTGTGGCTTTTCTGCTTTATTTATTCATTATTTTATGTCCTGGCAGAAGAGGAGAATCTGACTTTTCTATATTTATTTCCTGCAGGATGAGCCTGACACACAAAGATGAGGTTACAGTTGGGTCATAGATGAGGTTCAGAAGCTCAATCTGATTTTATCTTTTAGGAATAACCCTGCTTTGACATGAAGACAAACCAATATCTCACACAGTTTAAAAAGTTGCAGAGAAGGGTGTGTATGGCAATACCTGAAGGGCTCAGCTGAGTTTCACCCTTGTCATAGCATTGTTTCAAGGCTCTTGGTTCTGCCTGTTAGAGGGATTTTTTTTCCTGGCAATCTTCTGTTTGTCACTCAAGGTGGCACACCCACCTGGCTCTGCCAAACAAAGCTTCTAATTGACTGGCGGTGAGTCAGTTTCACACCCTTCCTTATCTTTGGCAATTTTTTGGTCTCTAGCATTCAGGACAGGGAAGTGCTTGTCTATTGTGAGTGAACTGGTCTCAACAGGTTATGGTAAACGATAGGAGAGTGTCTGGTCCTTAGAACAGGGTAGACACTGAAAATATGACTGGGCCACGTGGACTCTGCTTCTTTGACAGTTTAAAAGAAGCTCAAGAAAATGCCACACGAGACAGAGAAAACAGAATTCGGAGAGACGCTGAGAAGGTAGGTGGTTCACTGCCACAGTGTAGGAGTTGGGCCTATAACCATGGACAAAATCACACCTGCACCTTTGAAGGAGCACAATGATGTCATTGTCCCATTCCATACATGGATTTCATACTAGTTAAACTTGCTCACATATACGAGTCCTAGTAGCTATCAGCAGGGTCATTTGAACCACCTTTCCCACCTAAGGCTTAAAATATACCATTCCTAAGCTTGATTTTATTACCTCACAAAAGAAAGAGGAAAAGAAATTTCATACACTCAGAATTCTGTTGGTCTCTTTTCCTTTTATTCATTTTTTTTCAGGTTAGCATACAAAGAGATGGTTTCATGGTGGTATCTCCATTCATATGTACAATTATGTTTTGTTTCTGGTCATTCTGCCCCATTTCTGTTAGCCTCTCTTTCACATGGAGAAACCAGTTTGCTTCGAATCCATTTTTAAAACTTAGGACATAGTACAAATTAAACAGGAAAATTTCCAAATAATTCAGGCTCTTAAGTAGTGCACTTAATGGTGATTTACTCTAAAATTCTGTTGGTAAAACTGGAGTTATTCACTTTTCCACATAGCCACTTTATTCAGTAAAGTTCATTCTTAATAAAATCCTTGCTTCTTTTTAAATGAAGGTCTCAAATTTTGAGGCAGTAGCTTAAAATACTCTTAAAATTAAGGTTTGTCTATATTTATTTTATGTTATAAAATTTCAATTAATTGCAAAAATTCTTTCTTGTATTGAAGTAAGCAATGAAGTCTTGGCTTCTTAAAGCACTAGGGTTTTTAAACCTTTCTTTCAATGAGAATGAGAACAGTGATCTAGCTGAATGGCTGTTGTTAGGAAGCAAAGACACCTGGATTTTGGTCTTCATCTTGCCATGCTGTGGGTTTTGAGAGTGAGCAAAACATCTCTCTGGGCCTCAATTTTCCTGTCAGAAAATAAGGACACTATAAAAGACCTCAAAGTTACCTTCTTGTTGTGCTGTTTTCACCTCCAACACTTTTAGACTAATACAGACACACAGATTGTGAACTGTAAGACAACACTTTCTTATGGGAGAGAAAGACCCACTTTTTGTTAATCAAGAGTTCACTTTCCCCCTTAACAAATCTACATAATGAAGCAAAATTCCCACACTAAACTGAGTACTCTGAGCTTAGACATGGAGAAACAAAATACCCAGGACCCTCCATGAACCATTCAACACCAACCAAGGACGGAAAACAATGCCTCTTGTGGGGTTTGTATATTTCAGCCTGACACACTGGGCTAGCCTGTCAGATTTCTCTTCTGTCTATTGTATGTAAACAGGGCTATTTTTCAGCAAGCCCCAAGCACCCTAACTTCCTCCTCTTGGTGAACAGGGTCATTAGGCACCACTGGATTGAGTAGGGCTGTTTCTCAGTAATGGCTCAAAGTGTGCCCTGTAATTAACCTGTCAGTGGGTTGCTCACAAAAGTGCTTCTTCAGAATCTTCTTGGATGAATCATAAGTTATAAACTGAAATTATCATTGTTGCTGTTCTGAAAATCATGGAGCATTGATTTTATGACCATGTTATGATTATCAGGTGTTTGCTTTCTACTTCTCATTCCAAGTGTGTGACCCAGAGAGTGGAGTACATGCGCACTCCTCCTCTGAAAACTAGTATCTTCTTATTACAATGCAGGAAGGATTCCTTGTTAAAAAAAAATCTTGGGAAGAAATTTGAACTTCAAATACACATCAAAATACTAATCTAGAGAAGTCTCACTGTACAAAGATACAGCAAGTTTCCAAAGGTCCTGCGGCTTTGTGAGGGTCGTCCACTGAGTAGAGCCACAGCGTGGTGGCCACGGTCTCCTGACTCCTGCCCCAAAGATTGAGGTCACACAGTTGTTGGTGGTTTTTATAGATTAGGCAGCAGTAAAACAATGCGTGCTTGTTCATACAGTGGCTCTCCAGCCTAGTAGTGTGTATGTGTGTGCGTGAAGTTCATTTTTTACCAAGTACTAGAATTCCGAAAGTCCAGAACCAAATTGTCAAGAAATTGGAACCAAATTTGTTTTGAATATTTTTTTTTCAGAATTTCTAGATAAGTATAGTTGGCATAGGTCAGGGTAAAGGGAGCTACATTCACTCACCCCGAGGTTCTTCACCTACAGGGTCAGAAATGAATACGGCCAAAGAACAGAGTACATACAATGTCCAAATAACAACTTGCTTCTGTCCCTTTGCAAATGAGATTAAACTGATCTATATCAAGTAGCATTAAAACAATTATTTCTATAAGTTCAATATTTTCATTCTGTTGAGCTTATGTGATAATATCACAAAAGACCTCCCCCCCCCCCAGAGTATTTGAAAGATGAGAACTACTTTTGGTTTTAGGAAATGTTTGCTAAGCCTTACTGTTTCCTCAGCTCTTTGACGTCAACAAATAAAGCACAGAGATGCTAAGAGTACCAAGTAAAGTGTTAAAATAATGAGTGTTTAGCTAATTCTCATTCAGACAGTGTTTATGTTTACCATCACTCCCCAGTTTGTCATTCTGTGATTGTAAATCTATTATGCAAAATGTCAAGATTAAAGGCCAGAAAATGACAAATGCGTTCCCTCACCCCCAAAGGAACTTTGCAAGGAATATGAAAACCAAGTGAGGAGTGGAAGGCTCTTTTGTACCCGGGAAAGTGACCCAGTTCGTGGCCCTGATGGCAAGATGCATGGGAACAAGTGTGCCCTGTGTGCTGAGATCTTGTGAGTATAATTCAGCCACTCGTCGGGTCACTGAGAAGGTGGAGGTGCTCGCTGAGGGACGCGTGAGGCAGAAGTGAGTGGGGCTTGTGCTGCTGTGACAGATTTGGCCAGATTTGTGTCCTCCTAAAACCGTAAGCCCAGCTAGTAAATGATAAGCGCCTGCATCTGAGCACAGCTAAGCTCTGTCCAGTTGGAAAGCAGGCTTATGACTCCTCCTGTAACACTGTGAGGCCTATGCCTTTGTGACCTTTTAATGAACTAGTCATAGGTCAGAAGGAGGAAAGGCTTTTATCTTCAGTAATTAACTAATTGTGGCAGGGTTGGTAGGGCATACTAAAGTTTCTTTACATTCTTGTTATCATCTAGCAATATAAGTCACAGAAAAAGGCTGAGCACATGACCCAATCAGAAAGGCCTCACTATGTTGTCAGATGCTTCAAGTTACGGACTTGCTGCTTGCTTTTTTTTTTTTTTTTTTTTTTTTTTTTTTGAGATGGGTCATACTCTGTAGCCCAGGTTAGGCTGTAACTTATTATCTAGCTCAGAATACTTTCAAACTTGTGGCTAACTTCCAGCCTTAGCCTTCAAAATGCTGGACTTAGCAGTGTAAGTAATCACATTGAACTGAATTCCACAAACTTTCTTATTCTACTGCAAGCATCTCTGGGTCTCAGCCAGATAATGCTCCCTTTTCTTGTAGATTGTATGCTAAGACTTCTTGGATAAAGCCTTCTATGTCCTAGTTAAAAACCAATCTTCATAATCCTTAGTTATGGGCTTTCATTACTGTCATCACAATAGGCAATTATAATTATTTCTATGTAGTTGTCTGTTATTGTTGTCTCCAAGGCTATACATTTTAAGAGAATAGGTTTGTGTTGTTTTGTAATGTCCTACCAGGCTGAGTGCAATGTTGGGCCCCAAAGTACGTACTAACTGAATGGTGAGTGAATGAATAAATTTGTACATGGGAAGACCCTGCTTTTCTTAAGCTTAAATCTACCAGAGAAGTAACACACATATCTGTGTACATATACTTAACATACTTCAGAACAGAATAAAACTTGAATAGAAAACCTGAATGGAAAAGAAAGTTCAACAATACCAACACTGACGGGTATTAAGCTTTTTTCTATTTAGAGTCTGGAATATCTCCTTTAAAAAAGCATGATTTGAAATAAGGAGATTTAAAAGAAAGAAAGATGGGAAGATATTTATGCACTTAAGTATATACTTGTGTTATACAGAGACAGTGAAGGGGCCTTCGTAGGAATACGAGGTCCCTTAAAAGCATCAGGAAAACATATGTGGTCCATCTGTGCTTAATGAGTACTGTGCAACATGAAGATTCAAAACACATCTCCTCATTATTTTCTCTCTAGCATGAAACGTTTCACAGAAGAAAAAAGTAAAGCAGAGATAAAGCCGAAAGATGATGAAGAAAGGGCTAAAACTAAAATGGAAATTAAGGTGAGGATTGGCTAACCAATCTGTCTGTGACTTCCATGCATTGACGTGTGTGCAAGTGTTGCACTTCAGAACACATCATCATCATCATCATCATCATCATCATCATCATCATCATTATTATTATTATTATTATTACTTTATTCACTTTGATTCCCAATTGTAGCCCCCTCCCTTTTCTCCTTCTGGTCCCACCCTCCCTTCCTCTTTCTCCCTTATCACTCTTCCCTATTCCACTGACAGGGGGAGTCCTCCTCCTACTGTCTGACCCTAGCCTGTCAGGTTTCATCAGAACTGTCTGGATCCTCTTGCTCTGTGGCCTAGTAATTCCATCCCACCAGGGGAAGGTGATCAAAGAGAAGGCAACCAAGTTCATGGCAGTGACTGTCCCTGCTCCCCTTACCAGGGACCCCACATGGAGACTGCCCTACTTCTGATCAGGCGGTCTAGGTTCTCTCTATGCATGGTCATTTGTTGATACATCAGTCTCTGCAGTCTCCCCTGGGTTCTGCTGGTTTTTGGCTTTGTTGGTCTCCTTGTGTGGCTCCTGTCCCTCCAGGTCCTTTTATATCCCTTTTCTTCCAAAAGACCCCCTGTACTCTGTCCAAAGTTTGGCTGTGAGTCTCTATATCTGCTTCTATCCCTTGCTGGGTGGAGTTTTTTTTTTTTTTAGAGCTCTTTAGTAGGCTCCAGGCCTGTTTCCTCTCTTTAAGAATGCATTTTCAGTATGATTAATAGTATCCTCAATGCTGAAAGTTTGATTATACACATTGAACAAAATTATAATGCTAAAATTTCTGAATACGTTTAGAGAAAAATACTGTCATATTAGTAAATTAATTCCATATTTTTAAATCTATCTTTCCTAGATAGGTTTATGTGAAAGTGACACAACTTAGAGACATTTGAGGAAAGGAAACCTCAACCTAGAAAATGCCCCCACAAAACTGGCTGTGGGAAAGCGTATGGGGCGTCTTCTGGTTTGATGTGAAGAGGCTCAGCTCTCTGTAGATGGTGCTACCCTTGGGCTTGTGGTTTTGGGTTGCTCAGAAAGTAGTCTGAGGAAGCTATGAGGTACTACCTAGTAAGCAGTACTCCTCCAGGGCTTTGCTTCAGACCCTGCCTCCAGGTTCCTGCTGAAAACCCCTGCCCTGACTTCCTTCAATGGTGGCATGTGGCCTGGGAGTTGTAAGTCGAAATAAATCCTTTACTTCTCAAGTTGCTTTTGGTTACTGTGTATTATCACAACAAGAGAAATGCTCACTAAGACAGTCGCAATCCTTCTTAATCCAATTTCTGCAATTTTATTCTTTTCTGTGATGCACGTATGAATGGCAGTTCTACAAAGCGACACTAAGATGCCATCCATCTCTGTGTAACTAACCGCTTACCTTAATTTTCCCCTCCCACTTCACTCTTCATCCAAGATTACCAAATGCTTCTAACATCCACATTTAAATGACATTCACATTTTAAATCATTTATGATCTCTCCGTACATCCCTCTTTCCTACCCTTACTCCCTCTCTCCTTTGTTATAATCTAACTAATTTCATTACATTTAATCTACATTCACCCAAATCATCCAGTGACCTGGTTGTCAGTGATGAAGATTTGACTCTGGTATCCTTTACTGTAAATTTTTGTTGTGCTCTCATTTCATAAATATAAAGCCTTAACTCCGCCCACTATTTACATATTGTAACTGGTTTTCAAGGCCACCTTTTCTTTACCACTTTCAAAACCTTTCTATCTTTACCCAACTAATTCTTAAACTGCCAAACTTATTGAAATGTTAGATTATCTCAAGAATATATGCTACTCACTGCCTCTATGGCAGTGACAATGGTAATTTCTTTTGGAGGACTTTATCTTTTGATTTTCCTGAATATATCCTCAGAATAGAACTAAATCAAAATTTCTTAGAACTTTTATGAATAATTCCTTCCTTTTACTAGCATGTATTTAATTCAGACCCAGCTACACTCTTTAAATTTGTATATGACAATTACTTATTCTTCCTACTTGTCTAGGAAAGATAACTAAAGCATTTTCATATAGATATCTAGGAATATACTTGTTGAATATGTATAATTATGAATATACTTATTACATATAAATATTACAATGATAGAATTATAATGTCTTAATAGTCCTAACTCTTTAAAGCATTGTTTTCCCCATTAATTCATCTTGTCCAGTTTTATTGATAAGCAATGCTAATTGTGACAGATGGAGAACATAGTCTTGAACCTGAAATACCTCACTTTTCTTATTCAGAAACGCTGTAGTGAATTCCAAGATCGTGCAAAGAATGGAATACTTTTCTGTACCAGAGAAAATGATCCTATTCGTGGTCCAGATGGAAAAACACATGGCAACTTGTGTTCCATGTGCCAAGCTTTCTTGTGAGTATGGAGTTTTTCAGTGTCAAGGAAAGAAGACACTTACACATGACCTAAGAGGACCAGCTTTGCTTCATGGCAGAAACTGACTCAAAATAAGCAAAGTGGTTGAATAAGCTACAGGGACAACATGAATAGTACAGAGCGAGGGTTTGATGCTTTCAACCTCTTGCTTTAAGATGCTTTGTTTTCTCTGACTTTCTATTTCTTAAATCTGGTTACAAAACAAACCTGAATAAATATTTGAAGTTCCATGCTTCAAGCATGTAGGCATCTCTAACATAGTTAGGGTCTAGCACTAGGAATGAAATGAGTTAAGCTGCCCACAACCGAACATACTATATTCAACCACAGGCACCTATAAAATTACCTTAAATGGTACTTTAAATTAGAAAGTTAGAGTTACCTCCTATCCTTCACAATTTAGAATAATGTAAGTAATATTTTGCTGACCTCAAATTATTTGACTATATTTATAATAGTAAAATATTTAACTTTTTTATTGATAACCATATATGTTTAAAAGACCATCCATTCACTGTAGATAGAATATACTTTTGTTTAAGCACATTTGTGTTCTTTTAGTGTGTCACTGTATGGAATCGTTGGGTTATATTAAATCTGTCTCACTTTTGTCTTTTAGATGAAACAGTCATGCATGAGCACAATATTTAATGTAAATGAAAACAAAAGGTACACGATATAGGAGGTAGACCAGAAACATGGGCACATATCAATGCATTCCAGTCTTAGAGCAGAGCTGAGGCACTTCTGCCCCTCATCTTCCCTGGCGATTAAGATGTGTCAGTGTATTTTCTTAAAGTCTTTTTCAGCCTCTAGGTATGAGGTCACCATGATTCCAGTTTTGATACTTCATTGGTGAATATTAGTCTTCTTTTTCTCATCACAAACAGAAAGATAATTAATAGAAAACAAGTTTACAGACCTACTACTGTCATCTTTCTTTTGATGGGAGAAACTCTGAAGATAATATAAGACCATAGACTATTAGAAGCAGTTTTCTTATTTCTTGTCATTGCATAGGGATAAAGTGGCAAATCCTTCATGTTCAGGCTGAGAATGAAGAAGAGATGAGCAATGTGCAGAAATCAGTGGATCCTTTTATTTTATTTTATTTTATTTTATTTTATTTTATTTTATTTTATTTTATTTTATTTTATTTTATTTTAATTCAGCAAAACAGAAGCCGAAGAAAAGAAGAAAGCTGAAGCTGGAACCAGAAGCAGAAGAGGATCTGAAAAGTCAGAAACATATGCTGTGAGTGAGAGCCACTTTTAACCCTGTTTGCCACTGTAACTGATACATTCGTGAGAGCCTGGCAGACAGTTATGATCCTTCAGTCTGGAATAATATTGAAATAAACACTATATGAAACTGATGCATTCTGTTAAGAGACAAACCGTGTAAAGTGAAAACATATAATGGGAGAAGGTGAGCTTTACTCCTATTTTCAGCCAAAAGGCTTCAGTCTTTGCAAACCACTTCCCAGGGAATCTCTCCATGTACTCTCTTTGTGATGGATTCTTGAAACTTCACATTGGAGTTGATTAAAAAACAGAATTTCTGCCCAAAGTTTGTCTATGAGTCTCAACTTCTGATTCAATACCTTGATCAGTAGTCTTTCAGAGGTCATCTGTGGTAGGCTCCTGTTCCCTTTCTTCTCCAATTTCCAATGTCTATCCCATTTGTCCTTCTGAATGAGGATTGAGCATCTTCCCTAGGGTCTTCCTTGTTGTTTAGCTTCATTAGAAGTATAGATTTTGGTATGTTTATCCTATATTATATGGCTAATATCTGCTTATGAGTGAGTATATACCATGAGTGTCTTTCTTTGGGCAGAGTACAGGTAATCTTATGAAAGAAAAGGGAGCTAGAGCTAGAAAGACCTGGAGGGAACAGGAGTTCCAAAGGAGCCAAAACAAAACAAAAAAAAAACAAAAACAAAAACAAAAACAAAAAAAAATCTCTGAGTCCTGGGGGGCGTGCAGAGACTGATACCCCAACCAAGAACAATGCATGGAGAGGACCTAAAACCCTGGCTCTGATGTAGCCCCTACTAGACTCAGTCTACATTTCAATGACGCTTATGATCTGACTAACCATGTTCATTGCCTCCAACTTTCTTCTCATTGATCATACAGAAGCTATGTGATGGATATCGCAAGGTCAGGAGGAATGGACAACTATATTGCACCAGAGAGAATGACCCTATCAGGGGCCCCGATGGAAAAATCCATGGCAACACATGCTCCATGTGCCAGGCTTTCTTGTGAGTCGAGCAGGGGCCTATGGACTTGTGAAGAGTCTGGGGCAGGGGAAACTTATCATGGGGAGATTTGGTGTGGGAGAGGGGCTCTCTTTAAGTAGAGATAACAATGTATTTTCTTCTAGGAATCTCTCAGCTTTGAAAGTCACATCTAACTTGTTAAAAGACAAACAACAACAAAACAAACTGAGAGCTTTCAGATTGTGGTTATTATGATAGACTACCCAGGAAACACACAAAAAAAGTGATACTAGCATGAGCAATTTACAAAAATCCGAATTGTAGTAAGCAGCGGAACAGTGGTTTTGTCAGTGGCTGGGGTGGGGGAAGGTACACGGTGTGAATGAGGGGTGGCTGGGTGCCCAACAGCTACAGTGGGGCGAGCAAAGCTCCTCTTTCGTACCATGTACTTGAGAGAATGAAGCCATTCTAGTTCCTTCACTAAAAAGAAAGCAAATGACAAGCTTGGTGCGCAGGGCCTCTGGGTTCACTCGAGAACACTCAAAACATCAGACAACGAGATCGTGTGTGTAAAAGATCTTTCCTAAGGGAATAATATTTGTTTCTTAATAGTCTCTCTCTCTCTCTCTCTCTCTCTCTCTCTCTCTCTCTCTCTCTCTCGCCTTTTCTCATAGTATTCAAGAAGACAAAGCAAGAGCAAAGGTTAAGAGAGAAGCCGCGAAGGTAATTTTCTCAGAGCTACTATTGCAGCGCCCTCTCTCTTTGGCTGCACAATGGCATGATGGTCTAGCTGTCTCACTAACATACGTGTCTGCTGTCTAAACTGCATGCCTGATGGACACTTTTAACACTGATACACGTTCTAGTCTAGCTTCTCAAGAGGCTTATTTGAGCCTGGGTGTTAAAGACCAGCCTGAGTAACAAGCAGACCAGTGGCTAGGGGTGGAAGTGAGAGAGAGAGAGAGAGAAGGAGAGAGCTTTAAATGCAAAAATGATCATGATTAGATGCCTCCAAGGTTCCAACTTCATTTTATTATTGTTCATATTTTGAGGCTCATTTAGTGAGGAATCAGAGTCTACTCTTTGTAAGGGATTTTTCGTGCATTTGGCTTTTATTAGGTTTAGTTTGTTAGACAGATTATTAGGCTTTAAGATGTGCTGTTTATAAAATTAATTTACCTCTTCTACACCTTTAAAGCACGTCCAACCGACAGAACAAGATTCCAGTCATTCCAATTTAACAATACGACTGTGTGTTATCATATCTGTCAAGGGGAAGTACTAGCTTTCTTAATCCAAGTTACCGTTATTATTTAATCTTGACTTTCCAATCACTCTTAGTCCATGTCCTTGATTTCCCAATTTCACTAATTTATGTATCAGAAAGACAAACATGTCTGTATGTAAACAACAGAGTATTTACACTCAGTAACAATTTACAAAATTCACCCAGTGTGTATTTTGAACATCCTTGAATGTACAAACTTAGTCATTATTTGGGGGAAAGTTGACATGTTTAGAAGCTTATCTTTAAACTGACTCATTTAAAAAATCACTGTTTTGTTAGGTGGAACCATCTTTTCATTAGTAATTTAGGTCTGAGATTTGGCTATAGATTGTATCCAATTAGTCATTGAGCCCCGTCACTGTCAGTACACTTTTTGTGCTGCTCTGGGTCACTTCCACATGCTCCATGCCCTGACGAGGATCCCCTCCTGAAGATATTTCAAGAGCCCCAGACATCAGCCTTCTTTTCTCCTTCTTAGACAAACACTGATTGTTTATTACGTGGACATGTTCTGTCCCTTTCTTTCTCAGGATACTAACCACAAACGATAGCTCAGAAATAACCTCAGCAACTCCGGGAAGGCTTCTTCCTGAGGCTGACTGAACTTCCTCCCCTGTGACCTTTCATGGGTTTTATGTGCTGCAAACTGCAGTACAACAAAAGCATAGATATAACTATCAGTTGCAACCTAAACGTTCTGCCTTATTCTGAAACCCAATTATAAAGATCCTCAGTGATGACCCAGGTTTATACTTCTGCTACAAGTGCCACAATCATCCCAAATTCTTTTTCTTATTTAAAACTTCTTATTTTCAGGCAAACACAGCTGCTATAAGTTCACGGATGATGGTCATAGCAAATCCAGCAGTTTCACAGTAGTCCTCCCCATTCTCCATATCTTTCACTTTTTTCATCTCCTATTTAGTGGTATGCTCCAAGAATTGGCAGGGAGGAAGTTAATTGATGAAGATGTTCTATTTAGGGCTGAGCATCAGTCTCTTATTGTAGACACTGACCAATTATGCATACCTATTGGAAAAAGAAGCTTCTATTACCAAGGCTGAAGTCAGCTTGAGTGTAAAGGTATAAACATAAGTATCTACAGGCCAGTCTGACAACATGGCCATATACTGAAATAACAAAAGCGGATTCTACCCAGGTCCTGTTATTTCCTTAAATGTAGGCTTTTGACCAGGATTATAGCACCAGACATAAACTTTTTTCCTGTTGATTAAGCTTCAAGTCCAATCAGAAAGGAGTAAGTTCCTCCTTGACAGTTGCTCCACTGTCGCTTCAATGGGACTTAGTTTGCCTGCCAGGTGGGAATCCTAGCAAATGATGTTAGTGCTCAGCAAGAGGACTTATGCTTTTTCTCCATCAGCTTAGATAGCATCCTCTGACATGCTATCTGGTGTGGAGCGAGTTTACAAGTCACCTTGAGACTCATTTTCTATTTCCTGTAAAGTATACGGTAACTTTTACAAGAATCTTGCCATGTAATTGTGGCAATAGCCTGTAATCTTTTGGAGACTTCCAGGGCTTTTACAATCAATAACCTACAGAGAGGTATTCCATACTTTGTACCATAATTTTATTTAATAATGGAAAGAACATTTTTTTTCTTTTATTCATTCAGGTTAATCCTATTCCAGTTTTTTTTTTTTTTTTTTTTTTTTTTTTTTTTTTTTTTTTTTTTTT